GATGGTGTAAATCGATATTTTAAATTCAGAAGCCATAGTTGGAGATGTAGTTAAAGACATTGGGTTTAAAAAATATAGGGATAAGAAAATCAGAGTTTGTGGCAAAAACTCAATTCATTTATCCAAGGTAAATATATCTGTGTAGCATAGATTTGATTGTATCATTTATTTTGAAAATTGTGACAAATTTTAGGAATTTTCTTTTTTCAAATTTGAATCTATCGACGTTAACTATGTAGAAAACTATGCAATAAATATGTTATTGCTGTAATAAAAATTCTAATTGGTTTTATTACAATTAAAATAATCACCATAATGGGTGCTACAGCATAGTTTAACAGTAGTATAATTTTAAGAATAATAAAGGTTTAATCATTTTTAAGGTTGAGAATGAGATTTTTATGAAAAATTAATTAATTTTGACAGCTTGAATTTTTTTTATGTGCTGTGTTCTGTACAGCTAGTATTGTTCAATGAGTATTATTGTGCACTAGACTAGCTTGGAAACCCAGGGCTGCCAAGGTTACTAAAAGATACTACTGCCTTTTACCCGCACTTAACCGATTTTACCTGGAAACTAAATTGTCGCTATTAAAATCGACACACTCAACTTAGAATCTCAAAACCAAAGTCAGATCATTCCCGTAGATCTCCCGTGTCTCCGATGAAAATTTGAGGCAAATCGGTCAAGGGGTACCTGAGTTATGATCAGACAAACAAGCAGACACCAAAAGACAGAAAAACTTTATATATGTAAATATATATATATATATTTATATATATATATATATATTGTTACAAAGTTTTGATTCAGCATTGCAGGCATTTGAATCTTTGATCTTTGAAATCAAGGAGGAAAATCAAAAATTTTCAGCATTATTTGCAGTTTTATTTTATAGCTTTCTAATAGATTGTTCTTATATTTATTTGTAAATAAGAAATAAACTTTTTTTGATTTAAACCCGTAAAATGATGGATAACATTTTAAGGTTATCTTATTTTTGATATAAACCCGTAAGACAATGGATAACATTTTAAGATTATCTTATTTTCTTATATTTTACAAAATTGAATTTTTTTCATTTCCATTTTTTAGTATGAGTATGATATTGAGATTTCGTAAATCTAATTTTTCATTTATAGCACATTTATCAACTTTTTCTTCATACATGTCTGTTCTTTGAATGTAAATTGTGTGATATCACAATATTTAGGGAAAATTTAAATATTTGTACAATATGTATTTTCAAAGGAATTCAGTCTTTGTCACAACCTCAAACTCTAATCTCTACATCTTTTCAACCTGATGGTGTAAACCTTTAATATGCCGATTCCATTAGCGCTTGGTCCAATCATTGTTTATTTGTCTATTTGAACCATTAGAAATAGTATGGCGGAGACATCTATCTTTCTATCATTCTCATTATCCAATTAGAGATATGAATCCTTCAATCGACGCTATCAGTAAATGGAAATATTTACTTCTACTGAAACTGTAGTGTATTATTATAAGCATAGATTATTTGATCTAATAAAATTCACAGTTTGAAATATATAAGGTCTAAGACTTCCGGTTGCAAAGATATAGAATCAGGCTTGCTGCAAAGACTCAATTCCTTCATTACGTAATAGTTCTTCACTTAACCTGAAAATAAAGAATTAGTTGGTTTACTCCATCATGGATCAACGTTTCAAGTTTCAAATTAAAAATTAAAATAAAGATTAAACTTGTCAAGTTTACACCATTTCCTTGCTCCCAGGAAAATACCTATTCAACTTTTTAAACCAGAAACAAAATATAAAAAGTTACAAAACATGCCGCAGAATAAATGTTTACTATTAAAGGGAGGGACCGGCTAGACATGTTAGTTGAGCTAACAGTGTAGAAATTTTGCTACAGTTTTCGTCGTTGTTATTAAATGATTTTTTAAAAACGATGTACCCTAAAAACGTGCAATTTGCAAGAATTTCAAAGATCGAATTTTCCTTCCATATTCAGCAATTATGACCGTAAAAACGTCTTTTAGGTCTCAATGAATCCTAAAATATTTTTCAACAATACTGCAATTTAAGATAAACTACCCCTTCTAACTCACTCCCTTTTCAATAATAATGCAAATATACTTAAAGGGCCTGTCTTAGTAAGTCTTCCTTTTTCTATTTACAATGTTAAAATTTAAACCTTTATATAAGAAAGACAGCATGAATTTCTCTTTGTTCTTGCATCTGAAAATTGACTGATGAATTACTCCGAAAAGGACTAAAAAATGTTTCTCAAAAGAATGATAAAAAATTTCTCAGCTAAAGTACCACGTCTAGCTGGTCACTCCCTTTAATAATAATCCAAATATATATAAAGAGCTGTCTTGCAGTGAATCCCCGAGCGCGACAAATGTAACTTGCTAATAAATGCAGCAGAGGAAGATAGAAAATTGAGATATCATAATCTTTGTTACTCTGATAAAGGGCTAAAAAATAAAGGTTGCTAATAAATACCACGCCAAGGGAAACTCAAAAACACCAGATTTTAAAGTGTTGCAACGCCTTCGCCTCTAATTTTACTTCATCAACTCACTTTATGTAGGCCTATACATATACATTTTAAAGTTGCAACGCCCTTGTTTCTAGTTTAAGTTTAAAAGGAGTTTTGTCAAAATACTCCACGATTTCTGAGTGAGAGCGTTCACATCTTGGTTTGATTTTTCTTCTCACAAAATATTAAATCTGTAAAAACAATCAAAAAAGCCTGGAACAATCTTATTAAGACACGTTGTAGTCGCTATCCACAATGATAAAAATAATAGTAAATTTATCTTATTTGAATTCTGTTGTTTGTATTCCTTAAGGTCCCATGTATTCCATTGAAAAGACCAAGAAATTGCCTGCAGGCTAAAATCATCAATAAAATATAAAAGTAAAAATAAATATTGTCATTCCTGGGCAGTTTTCAGTTTTCAGTCTACCCCTGACAGGAACCACTACAGCCCTATCATGCAAATTCAAGCTTCTTTAAGTAAATAGTATCGGAGATTATTCAATATTCATTGTAACCTGGTTATTTCAAAATTTCATGGCTGTATCTAATATTTAAATGATTCTCACTAAGTTAAATTAGGTGTAAATAGTTGTTTCTGAAATTAACACAAATCTGAACTAAGATTCAGAAAATCTAATTTAAGGTTTCCGAAATCCGGAATATATTCGACACATGCTTCACATTTATAAAAGTCTAACTTTTTGGACATCATTATTAACAACTTTATACTTCCAAAGAAAATTAATTACATCATCAAACTACATATATTTTCTAACTCCTATATCTTTGTAACTTGACGATGAAAACCTTTGATATTTATATTCTAAACTATTTGATCTAGCTATAGCAGAATTCATATTTGAGGCAAATGTACCGTTCCATTGTTCAATGTTTATAATCATTAAAAGTTTCATTAAGAAATAATAGAGACTGTTACCACTATATATGTACGTACCACAGCTTATAGGAGGAAACCCATAAACATTCTCTTTACTGAATATTAAAAAAAAATGTTTTGTAAAAATTTATTTTTATAAATAGCATTCATACATCAAACTATTTTTGTAACATTCATAACATGATTACTCCAAACCCTTATCATAATATTTATTCCTTTAATATTATGTATAATATACAGGGCTACACACGAATATGACTGTAAGAAGACGATCTAAAACTCATTAAAATATGACGATATCAAGGTTTAAGTTCGGAAAGAAACAAGCAAACTAATCCCAAAACGTAAAACGATTATACCGTAAATCAGAAAAATTAGAAACTTTAACATTGTTTAAATAAAGCAGAAGACATTTCACGCTGAAAACTTTTTTTGCACGTTTAAAATCAATCCCTTTCACTTATTTGGGTAATTTCAGGGTAAACTAAACAGCCTATTCGCTCTTGATTGGTAATAGTCTTACTTTTCAAAGACAACTGTGGCCGGAGAAAAAGCCGATTTTTCGTTCAGAATTTGAGCGGAAAGGGACGGTCCCTCTCTATAGACACTATTTGATGTTTTCTTTCAGTAACAGCAGCCCAATAACATTTAAATTTTTTATATTTTAATGTCATTATGTGTTCGTTATTATGTACTAAAATCTGAAAACTTTTGATATTTTAGTTAGCAAGAAATTTACGTTTTTCGTATTAAAACATGTAAAATGTGTTTACAAAGACGACGTCTCTACGACAATCAATTAATCATTACTCGTATTTTGGTTCGTAGATTTTGTATATTTTTTTCCCGTATGTGCACAACTTTTCATTTGTCATGCCGCGATCAATTCAGCTTTTTGCACAGGCAATACACAATTTTGAATGCGATAAAATAGTGTTATTTTAGAAATAGAAAGTTAAAAAACAAAAAAAATTTAAAAATAATGACATTTACAATTAGAGATTAGATACTACAGTTTAATTTTATATTCGAAATTAATTTGATTCACAACATGCTGAAAAAAACATCAATTAGTGTCTATAGAAAGGGACCGTCCCTTTGCGCTCGAATTCTGAACGAAAAATCGACTTTTTCTCCGGCAAGAGTTGTCTTTGAAAAGTAAGACTATTGCTAATCAAGAGCGAATAGGCTGTTTAGTTTACCCTGAAATTACCCAAATAAGTGAACGGTCCCCAGATATAAATTTAAAATCTGAGAATGTTAATGTTAAAATATGCTAGTTATCTTAAATAAATCCTTAACAGATATAAATTTAAAATCTGAGAATGTTAATGTTAAAATATGCTAATTATCTTAAATAAATCCTTAACAGATATAAATTTAAAATCTGAGAATGTTAATGTTAAAATATGCTAATTATCTTAAATGCCGGAATTAAAACAAGATAATTGATGAAACACAAGCAATGTAAATTTGACACTTATGAACTTGATATCATGCAGGATAAAGATACATTTTACTTCATTATTTAAAGTTAAAAACTAAGCAAGTTATTATGAAAACTAATTGCATTAGTATTAGCATGCATTTTGATGAAAAACAACATTTTTTGGTATTTAACCAACATTTTAACAACTTAAAACTATAGTAAATCTGTTTACAACTCATCCTTGGGCTTCACTTCATCATCATCATCATCGTCATCATCATCATCATCATCATCTTCAGCAGAATCGTCATCATCATCATCATCATTTCCCTTTATTGTAAATTAGTTTATTAATTAAGATTTTTACAAGCAGACCTAAAACTCTTAAAATATAAAAATTTAAAGTTTGATTTATCATTAATGATTTAGAGAATAAAGAAACAAGTTTACGGTTGCAGAGTACCAAAATAGTAGGTTTAAATAATTCTTTCTATTGTCTCTGAAGAAGCAATCCTTGTAGCTAACATTGTTTGGAAAGTTATTAAACGAACTGAATAAGTTAAACTGATTTCCTTTGGTGAATCTTCATCAGGTTTTCCTGTTTCTACCAATCTTATTAAAGAATCCAAATCACGCCGTCCTAAAATTAACAATCTAAAAATTGTATATTAGCTGAAATGTTTATCATATTTTCGATATATACATGTAAGAAAACGTTTTACATGATCAAAAGCGCATGTTTATTGGACTCAAGTTTATTAGTTTAGTTTAGTTTATTATATACTGGATACTCTACACTATAGATAAACACTTTACAGGATATATACTGGATACTCTACACTGTAGTATACACTTTACAGGATATATACTGGATACTCTACACTGTAGTATACACTTTACAGGATTTATACCGTATATTCTACACTATAGTGTAGTACACAGGATATATACTGTATACTACACTATAGTATACAGGATATATAATGTATATTCTACATTATGGAAAAATTCATAGATCATCTCAGCAGAACTGAAGGGTTTACAGACCCAACCATTTATCTATTCTCAATCACTTCCGGGATAAACTTCCTCCCCCCTTTATCCCTTGTCCTTTCCTATCCCCCAACCAGCCCCTCTTTACCTCCCCTCTTTCCCTCCCCCTCTTCCCTTGTTCTTTTCCTGTCCCTTACCCTTCATTTAATCCCTCCCCCCCCTTCCCTTGTTCTTTTCCTGTTCCTTACCCTTCATTAAATCCCTCCTCCCCTTCCCTTGTCCTCTTACTGTTCCTTACCCTTCATTCAATCCCTCCTCCCCTTCCCTTGTCCTCTTACTGTTCCTTACCCTCCATTCAATCCCCTCTCCCCTTCCCTTGTTCTCTTACTGTTCCTTACCCTCCATTCAATCCCCTCTCCCCTTCCCTTGTCCTCTTACTGTTCCTTACCCTCCATTCAATCCCCTCTCCCCTTCCCTTGTCCTCTTACTGTTCCTTACCCTCCATTCAATCNACTGATAATCAATGAATATGAAATAGCAAGGAACACACTGATAATCAATGAATATGATAAAGCAAAGGAAGACACTGATATTCAAGAAATATGAAATAGCAAGGAACACACTGATATTCAAGAAATATGAAATAGCATGGAACACACTAATATTCAAGAAATATGAAATAGCAAGGAACATATTGATATTCAGGAAATATGAAAGAGCAAGGAACCCACTGATATTCAAGAAATATGAAATAGCGAGGAACCCACTGATAATCAATGAATATGATATAGCGAAGGAACACACTAATAATCAAGGAATATGCAATATCAAGGAACACGCTAAAAATCAAGGAACATAAAATAGCAAGGAACACACTGATAATCAAGAAATATGAAATAGCAAGGAACATATGATAATCAAGGAATATGAAATAGCAAGGAACACACTAATATTCAAGAAATATGAAATAGCAAGGCACACACTGATAATCAAGAAATATGAAATAGCAAGGAACCCACTAATTTAATCAAGGAATATGAATTGCAAGGAACACACTAATAATCAAGAATTATGAAATAGCAAGAAACCCACTGATAATCAGTGAATATGATATAGCAAGAAACACACTGATAATCAAGGAATATAAAATAGTAAAGAACCCACTAATAATCATCGGTATACTAGATATTGAATCAATTGCTTTATATTCCTTGGTATTCTAGATAAGTCATGCTTTGCTTTATATTCCTTGGTACACTAAATACTAAATCCTTCATTTTACATTCCTTGGTATACTAGATATTAAATCCTTTGTTTTATATTCCTTGGTATACTAAATACTAAATCCTTTATTTTACATTGCTTGGTATACTAGATATTACATCCTTAGTTTTATATTCCTTTGTATATTAGATATTGAATCCTTTGCTATACATTCCTTGACACACTAGATATTGAATCCATTGCTTTATATTCCTTGGCATACTAGATATCTGTATTTCTTGATATAATAGATATTGCATTCTTTGTTTTATATTCCTTGGTATACTAGATATTAAATCTTTTTTTTACATTCCTTGGCATACTAGATATTGAATTCTTTGCTTTATATTCCTTGGCATACTAGATATTGAATTCTTTGCTTTATATTCCTTGGCATACTAGATATTGAATCTGCTTTATATTCCTTGGTGTAATAGATATTGAATCTACTTTATATTCCTTGGCATACTAGATATTGAATCCTTTGCTTTATATTCCTTGGTATACTAGATATTGAATCCTTTGCTTTATATTCCTTGGTATACTAGATATTAAATCCTTTGTTTTATATTCCTTGGCACACTAGATATTAAATCCTTTGTTTTATATTCCTTGGCATACTAGATATTTAATCCTTTGCTTAATATTCCTTGGTATACTAGATATTGAATCATTTGCTTTATATTCCTTGGTATACTAGATATTGAATCCTTTGCTTTATATTCCTTGGCACACTAGATATTGAATCTGCTTTATATTTCTTGGCACACTAGATATTGAATCCTTTGCTTTATATTCCTTAGTATACTAGATATTGAATCCTTTGCTTTATATTCCTTGGCACACTAGATATTGAATCTCCTTCATATTCCTTGGTATACTAGATATTGAATTCCTTCCTTTATATTCCTTGGCACAATAGATATTGAATTACAGGGTTAGATTACTCAGAGAACCAAACTGACGATAAATCATTCTACTTTTTACATACATATTCTATAGTATAACATATTCGATAGTCATACATACGTACAAATAAAGAAAATTATGAAATATCAGCTATACGAATGCGTCGAAAAAAAATCGCTCATTATAGGTTTTAATATTTTCTCCTTATATAGACGCAACAGATAGAAGTAAGATTATTAGCGATCACCATCGAATATTTTCGACGTAAGCCTATGCTCCCTTTAATTTTTAGCGAACACTCCCTTTAACGCAGAACAATCGTTAAGCTTAATCTCACTAATGGCATAATTGTTCGAAAACCGCGTTCGTTGACAAATTGAAACGACAAACGAACAGTAATAATAATCATCGACTAACTAGAACGCCCATATATACATATTATACAGTACATGTTTTACAGTACACAGTACACAGTTCACAGTACACAGTACACAGTACACAGTACACAGTACACAGAATGAAAATATACAAACTGGGCAATTGTATCAGAATAAATGTATTACCGTCATAATCAATAATCTCGTTGGTTTCTTTCTTGAATAGTTTAAGCGTTGGGAATCCTTGAACATCTTGTCCCTCGATCTCATTTTCAGTAGAATCTACTTTAGCGATCACAACATCAGTTCTAAACACGAGAAGTTTAATAATTTAGATTTTACGATGAGAAAATATAAAACGTCTTGACATAATAGATTGACGGGGTAGAGAGGTATGTTTTGTTGCAGTATTGTATTCCGATATATCTATCTATCTATCTATCTATCTATCTATATATCTATCTATCTATCTATCTATCTATCTATCTATCTATCTATCTATATATCTATCTATCTATCTATCTATCTATCTATCTATCTATCTATCTATCTATCTATCTTTTGTGTTTTTTGTCCCTGGGTTCCATTAAACAAACATAAATATAAAAAACTTCAATGAAAAATCAATGACTCATCTTTTAATATAAATTGTAAAAAATATCGAAAAAACCATTAGTTTCCATTTTCTTTGTAAACATGTATGAAAAATTAATAAAGTTGTAGAACCCACTAATATTCCTTAGTATACTAGATATTGAATCCTTTGCTTTATATTCCTTGGTATACTAGATATTGAATCCTTTGCTTTATATTCCTTGGTATTTCATACGTTGAAAATATGCAATATTACTTTTTAATCATACAAGAGAGAGAGCTAGGGATAAAAGAGAATAGTTGAAAAAGGAAATATAGGAAAGATTTTAAATTCGGAGGCGTTACAATTAGGTTCGAAGACCCAACCTTTGAAGAATAAGAACTGTGGAATTCAAGAAGAAAATTAAATTAAAATACGCTATTGCTACAATTCAAGTAAAATAGTTTTGCACTCCGTTGAAGGATTTTCAAATTAAATAAATAAGGTAGAAGTTTTAAAGTAAGATGGTGGTGAACAAAAATATTTTAAATTAGATAACTGAGCCCAAAACTTAAGACAGATTTTTGGAATAAACCCCAGTATCGGAAACCGGTTTCATTTTTGGGATCAGTGAGTTTTGTAGTTTCTTTACATGCATCCTCTTTATTTTGATTTCTTAAATTAAAATCTACGCAAATGTATAAACCCCAAAAAGGAAACTCGGGAGTTTCATTCAACGATGTAAACTCGATTTATTTTTGGCTCTGGGTAATTTTACCCCTCAGCCAAATATAATAAACTCATGTGCATTTTTAGCTGAACAGTTGAGTGAAAGTAAACTAAAAGATAGACAGTAATGCAAAAGTAAATATGTAGTAAAATGCCCTACTCCATAAACTGCTCTCAGACGCGTATCTATCCAGATACAACTCAGATTCTCTTGACTATCAATGTCAACACACTGCTACAATCCCAAGATCTATCAACGCCACTACCACTGGGCGCGATCTCGTTAGCTATCGATGTCTTAACGAGAACACTAGCAATCAATCTATCAATGTCTCAACTAGAACACGATCCACACAGCTACAATCCCGTGACTTAGCAACGCCACTACCAATGGGAGCGATCCTCAACTTGTATGTTTCAACGAGGAACAGCTATCAATATTAATTGGAAGCTCGTAACTATCAATGCCAAACCAATGGGCATGATCCTCAACTTTCAACGAGGAACAGCTATCAATATTAATCGGAAGCTTGTAACTATCAATGCCAACCCAATGGGCATGATCCTCAACTTTCAACGAGGTACAGCTATCAATATTAATCGGAAGCTTGTAACTATCAATGCCAAACTAATGGGCACAATCCTCAACTTTCAATGAGGAACAGCTATCAATATTAATTGGAAGCTCGTAACTATCAATGCCAAACTAATGGGCACAATCCTCCACTTTCAACGAGGAACAGCTATCAATATTAATTGGAAGCTCGTAACTATCAATGCCAAACTAATGTGCACAATCCTCAACTTTCAACGAGGAACAGCTATCAATATTAATCGGAAGCTCTAACTATCAATGCCAAACCAATGGGCATGATCCTCAACTTTCAACGAGGAACAGCTATCAATATTAATCGGAAGCTTGTAACTATCAATGCCAAACTAATGGGCACAATCCTCAACTTTCAACGAGGAACAGCTATCAATATTAATTGGAAGCTCGTAACTATCAATGCCAAACCAATGGGCATGATCCTCAACTTTCAACGAGGAACAGTTATCAATATTAATTGGAAGCTCGTAACTATCAATGCCAAACCAATGGGCATGATCCTCAACCTGTTTATCAAAACAGGGAACGATTACTCTCACAGTAAACAGTACAGAGTCTCTATATCGACTAATTTATTTTAGATATCTTATGTTACAAATTAAAGTACCTAGATAGGTAGGTAGGTAGGTAGGTAGATATATAGGTAGGTAGGTAGGTAGGTTGGTAGGTTGGTATGTTGGTAGGTTGGTAGGTTGGTAGTTTGGTGTGTAAGTAGAGAGGTAGGTTGATTGGTAGTTCTTTTAGTAGGTAGGTAGGTAGGTGTCAAGATAGGTAGGTAGACATATACATTGGTAGATAGATATATATATATACAGATAGATAGATAGATATATCGATAGTTAGATAGATAGATAGATAGGTAGATGGATAGATAGATAGATAGATAGATAGATAGATAGATAGATAGATAGATAGATAGATAGATAGATAGATAGATAGATAGATAGATAGATAGATAGATAGATGGATAGATAGATAGATAGAATTATAAACCTGTCTTTAAACTTTTCTCCGAGTTGGTCCCAGATCGGAGCCAAGGATTTGCAGTGACCTAGAATATGTCTAGGTTTCATTTCTATATTTAAAATATTTTTGTATTATTAAATAACGTCGATAAAATAGCAAAAAAAAAATATATTATAACACAGTATTATAAGCATAAACCCTTACAGTCAAATGCTTTTATTCAGTCAAAAATTGCAAATTTAAAATAAAGCTTTTCTGTAGACGTCATTTACGTGAGTTCGATTCACAGTGGTACCCTTGAAAGCTATGACCGTTCATCGACGGTGGGGAAATCATCCGTGATTTTAGGTCATAAACAGTGTGCAAACTTGCATACAAAAGAAATTGAGTAATTTCCAAACCCTTTAATTTTGTAACCCAATGTCGTTGACCTTAGACATTTCAAACTACATATAAATTATATTGGATCAACTAAGCTAAGTTTAAAATATCAAAGGTGAAAAACATCAGGTTGCAAAGACTTAGGGATTTGCAAATTTGAGTTTCCATACGAAGTTATCACTATTTTTTGGCGGAAAAAAAATAACGACAACTTTGACAGCCTTGATCAGTCAAAGGTCTAAATGGTACCGTTGTGAATTTTACACGTCCATCAACAAATAATTTACGTCTACACACTAACACTCTGTAGAGTTGAAATTTTTTAATATATGTACAGTTTAACATGTACAGTTTAACATGTACAGTTTAACATATACAGTTTAGCCTGTACAGTTTAACATGTACAGTTTAACCTGTACAGTTTAACATGTACAGTTCAACATGTACAGTTTAACCTGTACAGTTTAACCCAGATTTGGAGACATCGAAAGAATTTATAAAATGTCGTTTTCCAAACCAACTGGTTATCTATTTACATTTACAACTAATGAAATTTAGGTATGAAAAAATTGTCAAGACGACATTTAAAAATTCTTTCGAAGTCTCTGAAGTTCTGGACTAAACTGTCAGTAAACCTTTGAAGTACCTTCTAAAAGAGAAAGTACGTACTGAGAATGACAATTTAAAAGAAAAGACAATAATTGTAGAAAAAACTTGTCGTTAAAATATTCTGAAATTAGACTAATGAACCTGTAATCACCATCATCCATCAACTTAACTTTATGTTGTTATTTTCGTAATAATTAATGTTAAAGGGAAAGATAAGAAATTCATCACTAAAGCGATTGTTAACGTAAAATAAAAGTCTGAAAAAAATTAAGAAAAAAACAATAAATGAATGATTCGTTAATCTGATATATGGGCTCATTTAAAGCTCTTTTATAGTGAATAACTAATCAAAAATAAAAACTATATTTTAGCACCCTTATTAAACGAAAAATAGTTTTTTCGCTGTTGTAGATAAATTTTGGACGCCCCCCCACTTCCGCCCCTCCATTCTTTGAAACGTTATTGAAGAGGTGTTTGAAATATTATAAATATTCTTGCTTACCACACCAGGGTGCATAAAACTTGACAAACACGTCCTAAATTATTATTCATATTCTTTCTATTTGAAACAACCATAATTAATAAAAACAATGTTTACAACAGTATCCTGTCAACATACATAAATACAGAGAGTATAGTTTGTGAGAAACATTTACGCATATACATTTTGTGAAATTTCTTTTGTATCACAGTTTAACCCACAATTTCGGATGATCATACGAGTTTATAAAATGTCGTTTTCTAAACCTATCGATAATGGAATGCTGCAGATATTTAGTTTTTAATGGAATAACTATATTGCGCTCTTTAAAATTTTTCCCGCATATTTCATGGCTGTTTATTTATTTATACAGTTATAAGATTTTCGTAAAATATTATAAACTCCTTCTGGATTCCGGGATAAACTAAATCATTTTGCAGCGCAAAACCAATCAAAATAATTGGTTTAGAGATTTCCAGTTTTACTTTAGATGCCCTGAGGAGTGAGGATGCTATTAAGTAAGTTATTCTAAGAATGAAGCTGTACGAGAACAATACAAGGCTCGAATTTTCAGCATAACGTAATATTTTTTGGTTTTCTAGTTTTAAAACCTGTAAATAACTACGATAAAAGTCGCCACGCCGCCGCCGTTAAAATCGAGACTTTGAACTCGAGACTAGACTTTTAAATCGCGGTCTCTTACAGGGACTGTAACGTAATTTCGAAGAGCTCTCCAATGATAGAGTGGCATGTCAAATTGTCAACGGTATTCTGTAAAGCTTTCTCTGATTGCGCGGTATGAATCAGATATCGATGTTTTTTGTTTATTAAAACTGAGCTGAAAGTTTTCAGCTCTGAATATATAATCTCTTTTGTGGTTTCTTGTCCATTTTTCTACATGAGAAACAAAGGGGAATTTAACAAAGAAAAAAACACGTTTCAGTGTCAGAAAAACGATAATATCTTCCACATTATTGATCAGATTAAGGTTTCAAGGTTTTCAGATTAAGGTTTTAAAACCGTCGCTTTACGGCTTGGAAATTTACCAAATATTTTAGGTTTTTTAGCACTTAGCGCTAAAAATGCTGTTATGAGTAGTTTTGTATGAGTGTCCGGAACTACTCTATTGATGGATACGCTTTTGGTTATTATTCTCTTTGCACTCGACAGTTTGGCAAACCTTTATAATTTTGGCACAGTTTAACAAAAGGTATTTGTTGTTTTGAATTTTCAAGCACTAGCTTGGGAACCCAGCGTCGCCTGGGGTACTTATAGTTACTCCCTATTTACGATTTTAGCTATGTTCCTTTATAAAAATCGACCCACTCAACTTAAAATTGTTAAACTAAGCTAAGAACATTCCCGTGGTTCTCCCAAGTTCCCCAACTAAAATTTAGGGAAAATATATCAAGAGGTTTTCGAGTTATGATCGGACACACAAACAAACAAACAAACAGAGGTTATTGCTATTTATGACTATATTGATATTGTACACTGTACAGTGTAAGCATACACTCTAATCTTTAAAGTTACTTGTACATATAACTTATCCACAACTGTATATCTTTGTAGGAGGTATTCTTATTTCTTGAATTCCCTCTCTCCCTCATTCTTATTCGCACTTGGTAAACTCCCTCCCCCTTCCTCGATCACACTTATTCGAAGTACCATATCCCTCACTTCCTCACTACCTCACTCACTTTAATTCAAATTTGGTACCATCCCTCACTCACTTACTCAAACTCAAAGTTCATACCCTTTCTCCTTTCCTTACTCACTCTCACTCAAAGTTGGTATCATCCCTCCCTCACTTACTCACTCTCACTCACTCTGCTCTTCCTCAATCTTACTCGATCGTTTTTGGTCCTATTCCTTCCTTTCTTACTCACTGTCACTCAAAATTGGCATCATCCCTTCCTTCCTCATTTACTTCACTCAAGTTTGGAATCATTCCTTCCTTTCTTACTTACTCTCACTCACTATAATTGGTATCACTCCTTCCTTCCTTATTTACTTCATTCAAATTTGGTATCATCCCTTCCTTCCTTACTTACTCTCACTCAAATTTGATTCCTTCCTACCTTCCCTCACTTACTCCCTTTAAAAGTTGGTTCCATCCCTCACTGATTTCCTGGAAGTAAGTAATGGTATATTATATTTCCGAATATTCCTATTCATACATTTGTCGATTATAATTAATATAAATCCTATTAAGGTACATCTATGATGTATGTATATAAACCATAATGAACAAATACGCATATACATTTACAAGGTGTCCCAAAAAAAGGTTAAAAATACAAATTTATGGTGCCTTTATTATGACGCCTTGTAAGTATGTCCTGTGGATACAGGTATAAACTTTAATTCTAAATATAACAGAAAAATTCTTCAGATCCAAAAATGTACGAAAAATACAAAAATACAAAGCTATACACAACAACCCAAATTTATAAAAATCCTGAACATTCTTTCTTTTTGACGCTATTATTCATCAGATTTAAACTTATTTCTATACGTGATTAAACTTACATAAAATAATATATAAAAAAGAAAGAATATAAAAATTTCCTTTGTTTTATCGAGTGCTATCTCGTTGAAGTTTGAAGAAACGAGAACTTTGACCGGCTTGCTATCCCAGTCCACAGGCAGGTCAGCTTTCATGTTTTTTATGATTATCATGTTTTCATGTACAGTACTAATATTACTAATCATTTACACTGTACCATTCTATTATTGGTATCTTTTACAGTACTTTTTTAGTATTATTTGCAGTTATTATTTTGTTTTCCTGTACAGTACGACACTTTTATCATGTACATTACTGATTTGTTATCATGTTTAGTTTTTTAATGTAATCATGTACATTACTAACATTGTTGTTATGTTCAGTACTGATATTGCTATGATGTGCAGTTCTTATATTGGTATCATGTACAGTACTTATATTAGTATCAAGAACAGTACTAAAATTTTCATCATATACAGTACTTATATTGTTGTGATGTAAGTACTGATATTGTTATAATGTATAGTATGATACTTTTATCATGTACATAACTGATTTGTTATCATGTATAGTTTGAATACTGTTATCATTTAGAATATTGATATTATTATCATGTACATTACTAACATTGTTATTATGTACAATACTGATATTGTATATGATGTAAAGTACTTATATTTGTATATCATATACTGGTATATGATACATATTGGTATTAAGTACAGTACTGATATTTTTTATCATGTACACTACTTATATTGATACGATGTACAGTACTGATTTTTTTTACCAAATACAGTATCTTGTTATGTTGTACATTTGTATAGTAATGATTTTGTTAAAATGTACAGTACTGATATTGTTATCATATACCGTACTTGTCTTACTATGCTTACTATGATGTATAGTAATGATTTTGTTTAATGTACATTACTGACATTGTTATTATGTACAACACTGTTATTATTATCATTTACAATGTACAATAATAATGTTTTTATCATGTATACACTATTTTTATTCTTTTTTATAAAGTACCGATATTTGTATAAAGTACAACACTGATATTGTTATCATGTACAGTACTTATATTGCAACCATGTACAGATATTGTATTGTTATCATTAATATTGTAATAATGTCCAGTCAGTTTTGATATTGTTATCATGTACAATACTGATATTGTTCTCAAGGAGGGCCTGGAGGGTCACTTGAAATAACGTTTTCAATCCCTTTAACAATCCCTTTAATAACTAAATAGATAATCATTTTCCCTGATTTCAGAGTTGGCTTCAGTTTATCTTCCAGGAGATCTTTTGCAAACTTTTCCAGATTTTCAACAGATATTTCCTAAATATAGAAATATATTCTTAACACTATTCCAGGGAACCAGACATGAAACCAGACATGAAACCAGACATGAGGGTAAATAGGGTTAACAGATATTTTCAAAACATAGAAATATATTTTTACAGATATTTCCTAAATATTGAAATATATTTCTTAAATATTGATCAACATATTTTAAACAGATATTTCATAACTAAAGATATACATTCAATTCATAAATTTAGGATGTATCTTACATTTTGTCAGAAAAAAAATGAATTTCTTGAAACGTAACAATAAATTTTCTTATTTCTTTGTGAAATAAATTTGTCTGAAAATGAAATATTTTGCTAAATCTGTTGAACAATAATATATTCTTCTCCTTTATCATATTATTTCAGATAAATAAAATGGCGTCAACAACGGACTGAGAATTTAATAAGGAAGAAGGATAAGATATGGAGGATAAAGAAATGAAGGGAGTGAAGGCAAAGACAAATATTTCACAGTTTTTACAAACTTTAAAATTAAATTTTCATATTCTAGGTTTAGGACAGGGAAACGTATAATTTGGACATTTTAGCTAAACGGTAGTGATACGAAGTTTACAATATTATTTTGATGAACAAAAATATAAAATTCTTTAAAATGAATCCGGTCTTTGCGGACATTGCGTTAAACTCACTGGAAACAAGGCTTTTATTTTTTATTGTTTCCAACAAACTTTTTCTTCTACTTTTAAACATGAGACAATCTAATAATTAGTCTTAGTCTCTAACATTTATAAAAACAAACAACAAAATAGAAAAAAAACTGTTAAATAATATTCAATTACGGGGTTTCTTGGTAAATTGAGAAAATTTAACATTCGACTGGCCCTTAAAAGCCTCTTTTAGCGGTATATTAGATAGGATTAGTTGTGAACATAAATTCAAAAATTGTATACTAAGAATTTTTTTTTAATAGGTGAAGAATAAAAATTTTATCAAATTCCTTTAAAAGAGATTTGACTTCCTGAAGTTTTGTGATTGTGAATACGAAGCCAAATGATTGAAAAAGAGATTTGACTTCCTGAAGTTTTGTGATTGTGAATACGAAACCAAATGATTGAAAAAGAGATTTGACTTCCTGAAGTTTTGAGATTGTGAATACGAAACCAAATGATTGAAAAAGAGATTTGACTTCCTGAAGTTTTGAGATTGTGAATACGAAACCAAATGATTGAAAAAGTGGGAAATTAAAAATCATTTATCAAACATTGTTTGTTTCATCAAAATATCAGCTTTTTGTGTATTTGGGAGATAAAATTTTATCAAAAAAAAATTTTCCACGTTAATAGTAAAAATATTGAATAATATAGTTTTATCAAAGAATAGTAGGCATTGGGAATTATACGCAAAACCAGATGCCTTAATTGGATTTAATAAGAAGAATGTCGTCTTTTCTATAATTTAAAAAGGTATTAGGACTTTTTAAGCATTTCCATCATCAAAAACTTACGTTTTTTAAATCAGCTGAAACGCTCCGGTATGGTGAAGACGACATGAGCTATGTAGTCTAATTTATCTGGGCATATAATGCACCATACACTCAATCAATCAACTAATGAAATGATCAATGAATAGATTTTTAAAAAACATTGTTTCATCAATTGGAAAATTATCGATGAATATTACATAAAATCATATAAAACAAGAAATTGATCAATCAGTTGATAAATATATAAAACTATCAATTCATTGATCATAATGATTGATCAACACATTTTTCAATCGATCTATCCCTCAATTATTGATCGTTAAGTCAATGGATTAATCAGTGGATCAACCTTTCAATTTATTGATCTTACAAATCAATGAAAGATCAATATTTCCATTGATTTATTATGAAAATCAATTGATCACTGATTTCTCCAGTAGGTTATGATCCCTACCTTGTTTTCTGGGTAGTATTTCGTAGAGGTGCTCATCATAAAGATCATGAAGGTTGGAAGATCAGAATCCTTGTTCAACAATCAGACTTTCACAAACTTTAGATTATTTTTTTAAAATAAGTTCTTGACAACCATTAGGGTTAAAATTGGATAAAAAGGATTTCTATGAAGGAAAATTATCTTTAAAGAATAAAGAATAAATAACTAATTTAGTTAAATAAGCTGAAAAAAATGAACCCAACTTCCGAGAGGCAAAGGAAAGGTGTTTTCAAGATTAGTTTCTTCAAAAAGTTCTTGTTTTCACTGAATAAAAGTTTATTTTAGGGATCAGAGTTCAAAATGAAACTTATTCCCAGAAGAATTTAAAGTAATGCATATTTCAGTTTCAATATTAAAAAACTTTCCTTTGCATCAGTTTATATATTTATGTACATACTTCGTAAATGCCCTGCTCCTAAAACTGGTCTCAGACCAGTATCAATCCAGGTACAACTCGTCAGCTATCAATGTCAACACGGACACAGGCGACTAAACTATCAAAGCCAAACCACTGGGCACGATCTCTTCAGCTATCAATGTCAAACACGGACACAAGCGAGTAAACTATCAATGCCAGGCCACTGGGCACGATCTCATCAGCTATGAATGTCAACACGTACACAAGCAATTAACTATCAATGCCAAACATAGGCACGATCTGATCAGCTATCAATGTCAAACACGGACACAAGCGAGTAAAATATCAATGCCAAACAGTGGGCGCGATCTCATCAGCTATCAATGTCAACATGGACACAAGCGAGTAAACTATCAATGCCAAACCACTGGGCACGATCTCATCAGCTATCAATGTCAACACGGACACAAGCGAGTAAACTATCAATGCCAAACAGTGGGCACGATCTCATCAGCTATCAATTTCAACACGGACACAAGCGAGTAAACTATCAATGCCAAACCACTGGGCACGATCTCATCAGCTATCAATGTCAACACGGACACAAGCGAGTAAACTATCAATGCCAAACAGTGGGCACGATCTCATCAGCTATCAATTTCAACACGGACACAAGCGAGTAAACTATCAATGCCAAACCACTGGGCACGATCTCATCAGTTATCAATGTCAACATGGACACGATCTCGTCAACTCTTTCGTTAAAAACATAGTTAAAAAATAAAACAATAGTTAAGCTAACCATGTCACGTAGTTATTTACAGCACTGTTAAGATAAATCATAACATGAGTTTTACGTAGCTATTTACAACGTAGACAATTAATAATTTATCACGTAATTCAGGTTTACAGATATAGTGTTACACGATATTTATTACACATATAAGTATGTATATAGAAATATATGATTATAATATATATATATATACCTATTTTATTTGCACAAAAAGTTTAAATGTGAATAGAAATTCCAATAAGAAAAGAGAAAGGGTAAACAAGCGAAGATAGAAGCTTTTAGAAAGTAGAAAATAAGGAAAATACTTTTTAAAATCCTACGAAATCTATGAAATGAAGTAATTTTGTTTATGAAAAATAATGAAAAATATCAAAGTGGATTGAGAAACTCTGATTTCCTTAACGCCCAGGAAGTCCATGATACCCTTGTGATCCTCTCTATCCGTATCCAGGTGCATAGTGATAATATCTTCTTTATACTTCTTCCCTACTTCAGATCCCTAGAATAATATGCACATCTATCATAAAGGGACTGTAGGTGTAAATTTAAATGACCCTCCCTGCACAGATGGCAACAATTCACAACAGTACTTTTGAAACCTTGATTAATTTTGTGAAAGATATTGTTGTTTTTCTAGAAAAATGTGGAAAATATTGTCGTTTTTATAGGACATTGGTTATTTATGATAATTCCTTTAGTGTTTTCTGCAGCAGAAATACGCAAATCAGTTTTCTAGAGGAACCACAATGGAAAACAATTACTCTTAAACATGATAAATTTTGATATATAATTCATACTTAATTAGACAAAGCCTTCAAGGGTACCATTGCGAATCCGACATTGTCATCTGTGCATGAAGGGACACTTGAAAATACGCTCCATTTGAGGGAATGTCAAATTTAAGAAAGCCACTGTTTTGTTGTGACATAAACTATGTTCTCAATAAACCTTTACCTAAATATGTTTAAATGAAACAATATATAACTTATGCCTGATGCATTTTTTTAAAGTAAGTGTTGGTGGAAAATGGGGGAGTGCGATATCAATATGAATGCTACCTAATTTTCGATAACAATAAATTGAAATTAAACCGTTTTCAGGCAGTTAGAAAAATCAATGTTAAAATTATATAAATTCATATTTAAAGACGTAAAAATTAAGCAAAATTAGAATTGGTATAAATAAAATGCTATGATTAGTATCCCCACCCTCTAATTTTCTTTACATGAATCTAACGGACAGATAAAACAGAATTTTTTTCTGATCATAAAACGACAAGATTTCCTAATTAATAGTGTGTTTATGCAATTATTTGTTTTGAAATGTTTACTTGAAAATTGTTATTTTTTATATAATCCTGAATAATTAATGCTTTGTTTTCCATTATGCACTGTTATGCAACACAGGATGCAATAATTCAACCTGGATTTCCTGTATTTCATCCTATGCACTTCATTTATATACATTTTATATACTAGTATATGTATGTAAGTATATACATTACATACATTTAATAGACTAGTATATGTATGTAAGTATATACATTACATACATTTAATAGACTAATATATGTATGTAAGTATATACATTACATACATTTAATAGACTAGTATTTGTATGTAAGTATATACATTACATACATTTAATAAACTAATGTATGTATGTTAGTATATATATTACATACATTTAACAGACTAATGATATATGGAATTATATACATTACATACATTTAATAGACTCATATATGTATGTTAGTATATATAACATACATTTAATTGACTGATTTATGATGTAAGTATATATTTCATACATTTAATAGACTAATATATGATGTAAGTATGTACATTACGTACATCTAATAGACTAATATATGTTTGTAAGTATATACTACATACATTTAATAGACTAATATATGTATGTAAGTATGTACATTACGAACATTTAATAGACTATAATATATGTTTGTAAGTATGTACATTGCGTACATCTGATACACTAATATCTGTATGTAAGAATGTACATTACGTACATTTAATATACTAATATATGTATGTAAGTTCATACATTGGATTTACCTCAATTTCTTTATATTGAACATTGGTACGGTATCCTATACAAATGTAGCAAAGGAATTGAGTCTTTGCCGCAAACTCTGATTTTCTAATCCTTATATCTTTTGAACCCAATGTCGTATACGTTTGATATTTCAAACTATGAATTCTGTTTAATAAAACAATATTAGTTTGGAATATCAAAGGTTTATACCATCAAGTTGCTTAGATATAGTCTAGTCTTTACAGAAAAACCGAATATAATTACTATTGGTCCCAATCTTTTGCAACCTATACCCCTTCTCAGATTTCGTGCACACTTCCTTTAACATCAGCTGCCCTTTACTAAAATAAATTAACTCACCATTTTGAGGATTTCTGGATAGTTTAAGTCTGCTATACTGGAGAGGATGATCAAATGTTGATGAATCCCTGACCCGAAAACCTGTTCTGAATTCTGTTCATTGAACTCGAAGATGTCGGGTCGAGAGTTCTTACTCACGAACAGATTTATAGATTCAGCGTCGAATTTCTCTCCCGCGAACTTTGCAGTTTTCTCGTCGAAGTTTTTATACAACAGTATACTAGAGTCTTCAAGTTCTAGCTCAGTCATATCATTGGTTAGTTTTATATAAACATATTTATTCTTCTCATCTTTATCAGCTATACTTTCAAATAGTTTAGCATTAGCTCCTGTCAGGTCATTAAAGAATCCAGCAATTATTACAGATTGTTCCGCCATTTTTGCCAGCAGAGCGACATTAGTTACCTGAAAGTTATTAAATTACATAAAACAAAGTTTTAAACTTATTTTTGTAAAATAATCTTCAGTGGGACTAATAAAGCTGTGAAATAAAACGACTTTAACACTCAAGTTATAATTTTGAATATTCTAATAAACGGCACACAGCAATTGTGCAGTGTACATAGACCCACTACTTTAAAGTAAAATGAAAGAAGGTCTAAGCTAAAGCCTAAAAATTTCAGTAGTTGATCGTGACCAATATTAGTTCTATCTAATGTCCCTGTCTCAAGAAATGAATATTAAACTGTGTCAAAGTTATACAAAGGTTAGAACAACATCAACTACTCAGTGTCGTTTTTCTATTCCATCTTTTTATGGATCCCACTGTATGTATTCTAAACCTACTTCTTGGACAGGAGGGCCTGTTTTCTTCTTTAACCAGCCAACAATGCCATCAGCAGTTCTAGATCCAGAATAATCTATAGGATCCTCGGATCCTTTCTTAAACAGTTTTAAGGTTGGAAATCCTTGAATATCATATTTTTCAGAAACCACCCTTTCCTTGGTTACATCAACCTTGGCAAGTTTTATCTCCAATCCTTCATCTTTCAACATACTTGCCGCTTTAGCATATTCAGGTTCAAGAGACTGAAAAATCACAGTTTTATTCATAAATTAAAAATGTAAAATTAAATTAAACGTTTCGTTTAACAGGTGGTAGATATAAAGGATTGATAATAAAAATATTCAAATGCAATTGACACTGAAATTTACATCTGTGAAACTTTCAAACTCCGATTTTCTTACTCTTATATCTTTGTAGCCATTTGTTGAAGACCTTTGATATTTCAAACTATGAATTCTGCTAGACCATTCAGTCAAAGTTTGAAATATCAAAGATTTAAAGTATCAGCTAGGTTGCAAATATGTAGGGATTAGAAAATTTAAGTTTGTGGCAAAAACTTATTTCCTTTCCAATTTCTTATAATTTACATCGCCAAATCTTAGAATTAAAACATTTCAAAAAGTGAATACACAAGACCTAACGGTACATATCGGTACATAATAAACCTACATTTACTTTGATAGCTGAGCTTTTAAAAATCATACCCCCCCTCCCCCCCCCCAAAGCCGCCTCTGCCTTCATAAATGACCAAAGATATTTTGATAGGCCGAGCAGTCTTTTCTTTATGTAGAAAACTATATAGTTAGTGTAGAAATCTAAATGAGAATTTGGGATTTGCTCCCTACTAGTCGCCATTTCCCAAATCAAGCCTTTCTAGAGAGAAATTATATGTCTTGTCTTAGAAGAGCGGCTAATGGGAACATCGCGTGCGCTAACCAATCACCATATTTTACTAAGCTTATAATGTCTCATAAAAACTACAAACTTATATTTCATGAGAAGAAAATAAAATACACTTGTTGTAATGAGCTTGGCTGTGATTATATGTTCACATATACTGATTAGAAGATTGAATATCTTGTGTTAGAATAGATATATAATTACATTAAGAAACACTCAATATTCAGTTAGTTCCATCTTTAGATGTATATTCAGCAGATTTGCTGAGAATAACTAAGTAATTGATTTAATTACAACTTAATTTATCATATTTGTACCTTACAGTGCCCGCACCACGGAGCATAGAACTCAACGAGAACTACATCCAGAGATGCTAAACTCTTATCAAAATTATCATTCGTGAGCACTAAGACGCCATCTTCCTCCTCCGGAGCGCCCATGACAGCTCCCAGCACGAGGAGTAGAAACCACGTGGCTAAGCCGGCCGCCATTTTGTTTTCCTGATGATGTGTTGTGGACGGGTTGAAGAGTGGATTTATATTGAATGATATGTTCAGGTTTAGCTAGTGAGGTGTCAAGTGACACGCACAGGAAACTATAAAATGTTAAATTCATTTAAAACACCTGTTAACAAGTCTATCGATCAAAGGAAAACTTACTTTGTATAAAATAAATGTTTTCAACAAAGTTTTAAATTTCAAAAAATCTGTGTAGTTTTTATAAGAAAAGAAAAAAGTCTGAAAGTTTAAGAAGCGAACGTTTATACAAATCTCAACTTGAGAGTTCTAGGGTATGGAGTACAATACATTGAATACATATTCAGACAATGCAGACTTTATCTTTGGTAAATGCTCTCCAAAACTACAGAAAAAGAAAAAGGGAAAGAAAATTTAGATTAAGATAAAAATATTAAAATTAATCTGAATTATGTTCCGTTTAAATAATTTCTGTTCATGATAATTTCATTATTAACGAATTATTTTTGAGTAGAATTGGTAGAAGTAAATATTTGCTGATTACTTCATCTCTTTACAAATACCGAGATTGTTTCTGGTTCCCGAAGATTGGTGGAAAAATCCCTAGACGTTTACAGAAAACAGTGGAAAATCAAATAATAACTGAAATACAGAAAATGAAAAAGTTATACAAAGTCAGGGAAATGAGAAATATCATTTTTCTTATGAAAATTATTGATAAAAACTTGAATCCAAATCTCCGATTTTTTTGTCATCGAATTATTTTTCGTCTTTTCTTAAAAAAATGTTTACAATATCCAATAATGATGGCGTTCAATGAATCCATTTAATGTTAAAATTCTAACTAAGTTTACAGGGCTCTTCGCGCCGAGATACCACAAAAAATCTAGACTTGATCAGTTCAGCCGCTTTGACGTAATTGTTGGATACAAACAAACAAACAAACAAACAAACAAACCAAATATATATATATATTGAATAAAGAAGGGAACCAGTAAGAGATTAGAGAGCAAATACACTCAGAGAACGCGACATAGGTTTTCCTAGACAAAAATACGAAATAAAAAGCCATAAAAATGAAAATGCTGAATAAGGGAATGTAATCATAATTTCTAGTGATCTCATGGCTTTTCTTGCAAAAAAGGCAAATGCCCGATTCACAACAATATCCTTAAAACCTTTATCTGATCAATAATGTGGATGATATTGTTGTTTTTCTATGTTTAAAAGTCTTTAACGCTAACAATTCCTATATGCTTCCCTTCAGTAGAAATTCTCAAGTCACTTTTGAATTAGAAACCACAATTGATAATTATCATGTTTCAAAATTATAAACATTGATATTCAATACATATACTTGATCAGACAAAGCTTTTAAGCAAAAATATCAAAATATCAAATGCCAAATGATCAAATGCCTAATTATGAAGTAAAAACGCAGTACGTTTCAATTAGGTCTACAAGCTAGAAATGTAAACAAATCAGAGAAAAATCATAACAACGGATCGTACTGCATTGTTCATCTCAAAACCGGTTAAATGGCAACAACAAAGAGAACAGAAGAGTAGAGAAGAGAAGAAAAGATAAGAAAAAGAGAAGAAAAAATAGAAGAAAACAACAAAAGAGAAGAGAAGAAAAACGAAGAGAAGAAAGGAGAAGAGAAAAAAATAGAAGAAAAGAGAAAGAATAAAAAAAAGACTGCATGAAAGAAAGGCTTGCATTTTACAGACGTTTTATCAAAAAAGTATGTTTAAGAATACCTTAAACTTTAAAATGAACTTTATTGTAAAATTGTATGATATTTTTGAAAAAATAGTTGTTCTAACTGTTTAGCGTACATTTTTTGATCATTTAAAGATTTTTGATCATTTGGCATTTGATATTCTGATATTTTTGCAGCTTTTAAGATACCATTTTGAATCGGGCATTGCCACCTTCGCATTGAAGGTCATGTACTTGAACTTACGACTTAGAGTCCCATAAAGCTTGTACGTAACTGAACAACTTTTATTTTATAATAGAATATGGAAACTTGCAGGTTAATATTTGCCTTCTTTAAATATTTATTTCCTTTATTTTGTATTTTCCATTATCAAACCAATTAATCAATTAATCAATCAAACCAATCAATAAATCAATCAATCAAACCAATCAATAAAGTGAAAAATTGTCGTAAATTTTTCCTTTGCTAAATCTACATCAATACAATTTTGAGGAGAATTGATTATTTAATGAATTTCTAAATTTAGATAAACTGAAATCCGTTGAACGTAATGTTTTAATCCGACCCACCACCACCACACCACACAATACTAGAATTCATCAAATTTGCTAATCCTATCCTATAATATATAACCTTGCAGGACGCTGGTTAGATAAAATTTAGATTTAGATATTTTTACAGGTGGGATCAAATGTCACTTTTTCCAAATCCATGTAATTTTTCTTTTTTCATTATTAACATAGACATTTTTGCGCTTGGTGGGCCAAGGAATGGTCTCCAAGACTCCAGCTTGAAAGAATTAAAAAAGAAAATGATTCTTCGCCACAAATTCTGATTGGTAATCCCCATATCTTTGCAACCAAACCTTTGAATTTTTTTCAATATTTAAAATTAAAAGGAATTAAAGGTTTTAAGTAAAGGCAGCAAGGGAATGTTTACAAACCTTTTATAAATATTTTATATAGATAAGATATATCTTGTCTAAAAAAAATAATAAAACCCTTCAGCTAAAACCATAAAATTTGTGAGAAATAATTTGAAAACTTTTGAAGTTGTTTTTGTTAATTTTCGTTCTTCAGTCCTTAAAATAATTGTTTCTCATAAAACATGAGAAAGTCAGGCAGTATATTTAGACAAAGTAGAAATATAAAGTATTTGAGATAAAGAATCTAAACGTTATTAGAGTAGATCCTGTCTAAACTGTCATCGGTAATTGGGCAATGCTATTGAAGCAAACCCACTTTTTTACTTTACCCATCCAGACTGTTCCAGAGTACTTACCAGACTTCAGCAGAATACTTACTGTTCCAGAATACTCACCAGACTGTTTCAAAATACTCACCAGACTGTTCCAGAATACTTACCAGATTGTTCCAGAATACTTATTATATCAGACTGTTCCAGAATACTCATTGTGCCAGACTGTTTCAGAATATTTACCTGTACCAGAATGTTCCAGAATACTTACAATATCAGACTGTTCCAGAATACTCATTGTGCCAGACTGTTTCAGAATATTTACTTGTACCAGAATGTTCCAGAACACTTACAATATCAGACTGTTCTAAAATACTCATTGTGCCAGACTGTTTCAGAATATTTACTTGTACCAGAATGTTCCAGAATACTTACAATATCAGACTGTTCCAGAATACTCATTGTGCAAGACTGTTTCAGAATATTTACTTGTACCAGAATGTTCCAGAATACTTACAATATCAGACTGTTCTAAAATACTCATTGTGCCAGACTGTTTCAGAATACTTACTTGTACCAGACTGTTTTAAAATACATTGTGTGCGATATTGTTCCAGAACACTTAGAAGTACCAGACTGTTCCAGAATACGAACTGGTACCAGACTATTCCAGAATACTCATTGTGTGCCAGTCTAGTATAGTCAATATTATTAAACAGTCTGGTATAGTCAATATTATTAAACAGTCTGGTATAGTCAATATTATTATTATCAATATTATATATCTGAAATTGGAAAGAAGCAGAGAAGAATAGTTTTGTAGTTATCTCAATATTTATAGTATTCTGCATCTAAATTATGTCCAATATATCCCTCCTTTATGCTGCTTTATTGGATTACAGATTCCAATTTGGAATAATTATAAAAAACCTATTCTCGAATAAATGTTGAATAAATATTGAAAAGAAGAAAGTTTTCTCCACTTTTTCACAAAAATGGATTAAACTAGGCCTTCATAATGTTATAATTTACGATGAAAAGAAAGAAGAAAATTGGTAAGCGATGAAAATTTTAGTCCGGCTCTAATATTAGAAGTATTCTTTGTACAATAAAATATAAAGCGAGTTAAATAACAGCAATTAGCGTTACATCACGTAACACAATAAAATTTAGGCTTTGCAACAACCTCTGATTTTTAAATCCCTATATTTTTGCAACTTGATGTTGTTGACCTTTGATATTTGATATAAATTCTGTTAGAACAAAAAGTCGTAGTATGAAATATTAAAGGTTTAGAGAAAAGGAGTCGAGTCTTTGCAACAAACTCAAATTTTCTAATCACTATAAATTTTCAAAGTGACGGTATGAAACTTTGATATTTCAAACTTTTACTATTTGATCTAACAGAATTCATAGTTTAAAATATCTAAGGTCTAGAACATTGGGTTGCAAAGATGTAGGAATAAGAAAATCAGAGTTTGTTGCTCAGACTCAATTCCTTTAAGTTTGTGGTAAAAACTTAATTACATTTTTTGTAAAACAACCCTAATAATTTTTTTTACTCACCTTTTATGTAAATAAATTTTGCACCTTAAACAATTTCTAGTCACGGTAAACCAGAGGTCCAGAGTCCGAATTTAATTAATTTGAGCCGCGTCTCAAATCAGCCATAAACCGGTTTTAATTAAGCACCGACTTAAATCTTGAAATAATTAGAACGATTTTAAATGGAACCAACCATATTTGAGCCGCAGCTCAAATTCTTTAAATTCGGCCTCTGGTTACAAGTCTAGAACCCATTTTCATCAATTCAAAGCAAATTATTCGTTTTATGTATTTTTTTAGTTTTTTGTGTTGGGCTAAGTATTCTAAATATTTACGTAACAAAGGTATATAACACCATTTTGACGGATCTTGAATGAGAGATCAAAATATGATAGAGATGCAGGATGCACTTCGTTGTAGTTTAAGGTGCATGGATTCCGAGCCTCTTATTGTAGTTTTGCACTCGGTAATCGGTATCCATCAGCAATAAATACCAAACAAACAATGATATAATTCCAAAATTCCAAAATATTTTTCTCTCAAGAAACCTTTAATATATTTATCCAATGAATGAATACATTTTTTGTAATCTATTGATAAAAGTAATTATTGAAATTTTTAAAGTTTAACCTTGACTTTTG